ATTCTCTACTATAGCTACAATGGGATTGTACTAGGCTACAGATATTTTGCTTTGTTTTGTTTTAGTTTTTCTTTCATATATATATATATATATATATATATATATATATATATATAATTTTTTAAAATTAGTTAGCTACAGAGTTTTTAAATTTTTTAAGTTTTCATTTTATTGAAATATAACTTACATTTGAGCTTGCATTTAGTTTACATTTTTTAAAATTTTTTATTTGTTTTAATTAGTTATACATGACAGCAGAATGCATTTATGCACTTTGATATATCATATATAGATGGGATATAATTTTTCATTTTGATGAATTCTCTGTAGAGTTTCATATTGGAGACAGGTGAAGTGAGGCAGGGCAGATTTATCTTCTATATTGACCGTGATTAGATCTCTAAAATTCTAGTAAAACTCCTAGAGCAGAAATCTGTACAGGTGTGAGAACCCTTGTATGCCTGTCACCTAGGGAGTCTTCATACTCTTACTTTAGCACACACTTGGCCTTCAACAACTTTTTAACATTTTTTAGTTTAATGTCTTCTGTTCTTTGGCTTCAGGAGATATTTGCCTCAGGGGATTAAATCTTTGCTTCTTCCTCCCTGTAGCTATTTTCTCTTTGTAGATTTTTGTCGCCTGTTTGCCTTTCAAACTCAATTATCTCAGAGATTAAAGAAAATTCATATTTTGTCCAGCTTTTTAATTGCTGTTTCTTTTCATCTCTCTACTTCTCTGAGCTAAAAATCAGACTCTAGAATATATGATTAAAAAATAATAAGTTTCTCCTAAAGCAAGATGAAAGAATGGTAGAGAATATTATTACCTCCTAAAAAGACAGTAATAGTTATACAATATAAAATAAGATTTTTATTTCTTTATTTGAAAGAAAAAAGATTGATCATATTTATGCAAACGCTAGTAGTAGTTGTAGCTTCATTTAAATTTTAATCAATTATTTTCTTTAATACACTTCCCAAAATGCAGGACAGATTTTTGGCTAACTTTAACCATCTTCTGTAAAGTAGTATTCACCCTCCTTGACCTCAATTTGTTTTGAAAGTTGGGTTACAATTTAAAAAATAAATGAATGCCCTGGTTATGAGTATGTAAAACATTAAGAATTAAAAGCACCTTAGATATAAAATCAAGTGTTCAAAACCAGGATGTAAATTGCTTGCAGAATTATGTCTCTAGATGACTCTGAAATACTCTGAAGAATGGGTTGATGTATTTCATTATATTCACAAAAGTACTATTGCCTAATGTCATTACATGACACAAACAAGTCTAATTACAGTCCTTATTTCTAGAGGGATTTATCCTGGTGACCACAGGACCTTGATCCCTGTAACTCTCCTTTAGAACTCAGTCAATATATCCTTTTGTAAAGAATCCAAAGAAAGAAAGAATAAAAGAAAGAATCAGGATTCCCTGTATGTGAATCATGTGGTAATACCAAAATCCTAAGGATCTTCCTTTAAGGACAAGTCTACTGCTCATAGTTCTTGCTGATTGTTAAGGTCTGTAAACAAGTCAAGATGGCGCCTGGCATTTTGCCAGAAGGAGTAGTTTGTGAAGTAAAGCCAGTGAGCCATTAAGTGTGGAGATTCCTTATTGGTTGACTGCTGTATCTAGTTTATGTTAATTAAGATAAGCTGTGTGTAATGTATATATACCCCTCCTGTCCTACAATAAACGGCTCCCACTCCTGCTGTATCAATGTACACAAGTTGCTCGTCACTCCCCGGTTAGTTTGCCCAGCCAGCCGGACTGCAGCAGCTGATGATTATTGCTTGTTTTCTTGTTTTGTTTTGTTTGTGTGCTGGGCTCAAGTCTAGGGCTCCCCAAACACTGAGTCAAATTCCCAGCCCTTTTTATTTTATTTTATTTTATTTATTTATTTATTTTGAGACAGGTTCTCATTAAATTGCTTAGGGCCTCCCTAAATTACTGAGGCTGTCTTTAAACTTGTAAGTCTCCTGCTTCAGTCTCCTGAGTTGTGCACTACTGCATATAGCTATGATTATTGATTTGATTTGCCCTTTTGATGTATTTCCAAACTAGGACCCTCTAGCATCACCATTTACAATATTGATAAATTTATTGATGATTTAAAAATACTTTCCTACAAGTCAATTTATATAATTGAGAGTCTCTAATATTATTCATTTTTCTCCTTTATTAAGATGAAGCTTGTCAAACTATCACAAATGGCTAGTTTAAGAGAACTGTTATTCCAAAAAGGATAGTGTTCAACAATACAAAAATCAATGGATATTTGAACATTTTGAAAACAGTATTATTAGATATATTCTCTCTGTGTGTGTGTGTGTTTGCGTGTGTGTGTTGCTGGTGATGGAACTTAGGGCCTTGCATGACATGCATGACATGCAACGGCTCAACAACTGAGCCACATTCCCAGGCCCAGATAGCTAGAACATTTTTACATGAATAAAAAATCTATGGCTGAGAATCTTAATAATAGTAAAAATGTTTGTAAGATTAGGAAAATGAAGTGCTTAAAATGAGTTTATAAAGTTTCAGATATTGAAATGTTGATTATATACATATTTAAAATACAACATATACATTTATAAAATATAAAAGCTTAATTGTAATTAACTAATATAACTTGAATAATATTTCTTTATAAAATACAATCCCTGCAAATTTAATTGTAAGGGAAGTTCAGTTTAACTAGGCAAAGAATAGGAACTTTATTTTTAACATTACCCTGCCCTTTTTCGTTTATGCTTATACAATTATTTAATCAATTTATCTTATTGAATTATATAGCTATTTTATCCCCATGATTCAGCTAGTACACAATATAAAGTTGATGTTTTATCTGCATTTGGTAATTTGATGAATGACATCAAACTCTTACAATACGAATTTGTGTGATAGTTGCCTTTCGAAATACCTGTGTGGGTTCTGTATGATAATTACAATGAACATTTCTTTTTATCTCATTAATTTTCACTTAAAAGAAAAATTAAATCATTCAATACAAATGCAAATGGTTAAGCTGATTTTTAACATGCTGAATGTTCAAGAATGTGAAAAACATATTTATATTTTTAAAATTAAAAAAATAGATATTCCCAGATATTTGGCTAAGTACTGGGAATGGGGTTTGGGTGCATGTATAGGGAAAGTTCACTGGCTGGTTCTGTGGATTTTAAAATATGAATTATCAGTTGCATCCTAAAGTATCAATTTTTATATTTCTACTTTTTGTCAAAATGAATTTATAAAGTTTCAGATATTGAAATATTGAATTTCAGAATTTGTTATTTGTAATGTTTTAATTTGTTATAATTTTAAAACAATTTTTTAAAGGAAGATCTAAAGTACCTGGAAATTTCAAGGAATTATGTATGTTCTACAATTTAAAATTATTTTAAAATTTAGGATTATCTTTGAATACACATTCTGTCTTCTGCAAAATTATCAAGTTATTTTGAGAGTCTCATCAACTTTGACGTCTAAATAATGTTTACTTTTGAAATGGATTTTTTCAATGTTCTGAATAATTTCCCACAATTAAGCTTTGGAGCATTGAGTTGAAGCTTTTGATTTGCTCTTTTTATTTCTGTTAAATCAAACAAATGAGTATATGCACTAAAACACTCCAGAAAAATATAACTTAACTATTTCTTAATGATTTTAAATATTCATAGCTATTCAACCAATCAAAAATTGAAAGTTCTGAACTTTTATTTCTGCAATAGGACAATCTTATTACAAAAGATTAATTATGAGTATGAAAGCACTCCAGAAACAAACTATGCAAATAAATGTATTAAATAGGAAATGATCTTCAGATCAATTATAATCTCCTTGAAGGTATCATCTACTTTTTCTTAAATCTCAGTGTAATATCCCAGAACAGGTTATTAATAAATCATTATGTGGCATTTTAAGGTGATTATCCTAACTACCTATGTTAATAAACATCAAAGATGAGATAAATCAGACAGTCAAGAGAAAGGTTAAATGCCTTTTAAAATACAAAATACATTTATCAAAACAGGTCTGCAAATGTTCTCCACTTCCCCTCTGTCAAAACAATCACTTGTCAAATTAAAATTAATTCATTGTGGCTAGGGGTATAGCTCAGTGGCAGAACATGTGCTCAGCTTACACAAGGCCCTGGGTTTGATCACCAGCACCAGAATTACACAAACAAACAACAAAGCAAAACAACACACACACATACACCAAAAAATAAAAAAAATAATATATAAATTCCTCCTAGGCTGGAATATAAAACTTTTCTCTAAGTTATCTAACCTAAGTATGTGAACTTGTTTTTAGAGGAAACTCATATTTTTGTTAATGGGTAAAAGCTTTGCATGAACAAGAGACACACATAGTGTTTCTTTGATAATAGTTTACAAATATGTTCTAGGTGTTGTCTTCAGCATTTTACCTGTATCTAGTCATTTAATGCATTATAAATCTATAAGGTATATTTTTATTTTTCCATATTTCCTATGAAGAAATCAAGACATAGGAGGTAATTTAACCTAGGTTGATGAATAAGCCAAGAAGACTTGAATACATCCAGCTTGCCTTTGTAGACTGTGTACTGGATTATTTCCAGTGCTGTGTGGAAACCTCAAGAGAGTCCATGGGGTATCTGTTGTATTCTGTCCTTCCTCCAAAACTCAGTAATATTGTATAGGAAACATGATGAAAAACTGACATGCACTAGACCTTACCAGTTAAAAGAATAACTATTCATTAAAATATTTTGTATGAATAATGAGTACATTTAATGTCTACATGAAGATAGTGACACATAGGTTTGGAAAAATCAGAGAAATAGTCTTTATTTTCCAAATTTATTTTTTTTATTTGGATGTTTACCTTACTGAGTTGGGGTAAAGAAAGCCTCAATTTCTTCTTTTAAGAAAAAAAAATTATTTATTTTACTTAGTTACACATGACACTACAGTGATCTTGACATATCATACATTTGAATCAGATGGAATATAATTTCTCATTTTTCTGAGTATACAGGTTGCAGAATCACATTGGTCATGCAGTCACATATATACACACAGTAATAAGAAAATATTAATAAACACAAGTAGAATTGCTAAACATCTTAAGTGTTTCAGAAAATTTTTTAAATTGTTTTTATGTGTGCTGTTTCCTGATACTGCTATTCATTTCCTAACATATGAATAGTCCTCTCTTCAGCCAACATTCTATGACATATAATTTAAACTATAGTATTAATAGAAAAGCAATGACAATAATAATTGGGTAGCAGAATAGCTGATAAAATGTTAATAACAATAGCAGATGAGGCTGGTGTCCAATAAATATCTTTGTTCTATCATTTCTATACTCAGTTCAAAATTCTTCCATCAGGATCTGCATTTCTCTCCCTGAATACTTTCTTCAGCTTCTGAAACATGCTCTCACTTCCTGTTCTCCTGGCCAAACGTGTGAGAGAGTCAAGACTATCTGAAATCATTCCTCAGTCAATAGTTGATGGGAGTTGGTAAACCAAGTTCTTTCAATACACAGATGGGATAATTTTGAATGTATATTCTACACTAGCAACTGAGTCTCCTTTGGCCAGCGTAAGAATTAGCTCAATAATGAGCTCCTGTTGTTCCCTCCCCTCCCAAAAGTCTAACTTCAGAATTCCCTGTCCTTTTTCCTTAACCTCCTAAATTAATTGCTTACACTCACATCCTTCTATCAGTGTATGCTTCTGTGGGAATCTATATGGTCATCTTGAACAGTAAATCCCATGATGCTTGATAGCATGAGCAGATCCATGTCTCAAGTCATTCTGAGTTATATTTATTATATCTATAAAATGCCTAACTCTTAAACATTATAGGAATGACTTGAGATATGACAACTTGTGAAAATATTTTTTTAAGAAAGAATTAAAGACTCTCATCATCTCTAGTTTGAAACCTGACATATTGCTTACATTTTTAAAGTTTTTATGTGAGGAATGCAATAGTATGCTTATATTTGAGTGTATGTGTTTAGCAATATTTTGTTTCTCTTCACTTTTTCATTTTTTTATTTCATCCACTTTTGAAAGTTTATTTCCAAAATTGACAAAAGTATGTCTCATAATTATCTTAGTGGTCAGTTAAAACCATGAAATTTAATAATCTCACTATCAAATTCATTTCAATATTTATAGACAAGGTAGTCACTGAGACTGCTTAGGAAATGTAGTAAAAATAGAATTAAAGTATAAGTACATTATAGATATACAATTGCTGAGATCATCTAACTTGTCCAGGTAAATGGCATTAAATAATATATAGCCAAAATCCTTAAAGTACACTCTCTCCTGTGTCAATACAAGAATATGTTAAGCATTCAAAAGAAATATATGAAACATAAGTATACATAACATATATGTATCTATTTTTTATTTTCTTTTCCAAAATACTCTGTTTCTAGAATTTATCTTTTTATATCAATTTTTGGTTTACTGAAAATTTAGAAAGCATGGAATTTCCTTCTTCCTCAACTTGATCTTCCCTAAGTCTATAAATATTTTAGGGGGTGGAGCATATTGGGGATTGAATTTAAGGACACTCGACCACTGAGCCACAACTTTAGCCCTATTTTGTATTTTATTTAGAGAAAGGGTCTCACTGAGTTGCTCAGCATCTGTTTATTGCTGGGGCTGGCACTGAACTCACTATCTTCCTGCCAGGACCCTGGGATTACAGGTGTGTGCCACAGAGCCCAGATCCACACACTATTTTTAATCTTTTAAAGCTTCATTTACTGTGGTACAATTGTAAAAATTGAACAACCAATATAGACACGTTATTATTAATTAAAAATCCAGAGTTAGACTATAGTTGTTTCTTTTATATAATCTATAAGTATTAATAAATACATAATGTCATATTTTGACAATGAAAGTAACATAGTTTTCTGCCATAAATATGTGATATGCTCCACCTAATTTTTTAACTTAAAAAAATGTTTGGTTCTTTTTAAAGAGTAGAACAAGCTCTATAACATAATAAAACAGGACTGTATTGTTTTATGCTCTAATGTCATCAAATTAAACCAGATTTTTTTGTGGTGGGGGGAGGAATGAAATGTGTGGCAATTTGCTATATTTTGTGTGAACAATTGTCAACAAACTATGAGAGTTAAGTAGTTTTTCCTGAAAATGGAATTTTCTAAAATAATTTAAAAGATACGATAGAAAGGTACATTCAAGTAGGATGAAAAGTCCTTGGTGATATTGTACCTGAATGAATCTTTATACAGGAAGACTATAAAATGAGGTTCTATGGCCACATGCTCAAAAACATGTTGCTCTGACAAGGGTAACATGTTTCTTTATTGCAGGAAGTTTCTCAAGCTTTAATAAAACAATGCCCACCTTAAAAAATCAACAAATTCATGTAATAAGCAGCATTTCCTACACGTATTTATTAGTAGTCTCTGTCAGTTAACCATTTCTTTTGGAATTAGTCTTTCACAGGACACACTAAGAAAACACTGAGGAATAGTTAACTCTGGTGCACATTTCTTTGACTTCTTTAAGTACAACACATAAACACAAAATTGGCACACCATACTTAGGTACCTCACTACTCACAGGAAGGATTATACACATAATCTATTACATCTTTTTACAGCCTTACAGGTATTACCATTTCTATTTTATAGACCTTGGTTTTGATGCTAAGTAATATTCCCTAATATGCCCAAGTAGCATTCATAAAAATGTGGTTTTTGTGGTAAAAGTTTACATAAGAATTTTTGCCACTTTAATCATTGATAAGAGCTTGATTCAATAGCACTAACCACATTCACAACTGTGGGTAAATACCGTTTACACAAGGAAAAACTTCACCAGTACTTCCAGAACATTTTAAATAATCTCAAACAGAATCCCTGTATTCAGTAAATACCAACTTCCATTGCTTCTTCCCCAAGCTCCTGGAATCCTCTATTTTAGTTTTCATCTCTATGAGTTTGCACATTCTCTATAATTATTATGCATAAAACTACAATATTTGTCTTTCTGTGCCTGAACAATTTCACTTAAAATATTATACATGTTGTAACATGTATCAGAATCTCCTTCCTCATCAAGGCAAAATAATATTCCATTATTTATGGATCTACATACAATCAAATGCTTGCTTTTTATAATTTTTTTTCCAGTAAATAAATTAGTGTGGAAATCCCAAGGCAATTTGTCCAATTTACTGCTCTTATATTTAGGAGCCTGCAGTACAAGTTGAAGATATGGTCACAATCTGTGGACACAAGAGAAGGAAAAGACAAAATCATACACATATTTCATCCAAAGCAAAAAAACAAATATTCTATCATAGATTGATTTTTTATAAACAAACACCAATTTTATTCTCATAAAAGTTATTATAAAACATTACATGATATTATGTTTTCATAGTTTATTTCTGATGAAATATCTTGATTTTCACATTCAAAATTAAAATTCATAAGTAATGTACAACAAACTAGTTGAAAAAACTGAGCTGTAAAATCTGTAAGAAAGTGGAACCAGACTGTGCATTACATGATTTCTATTCATAAGCAGAACTAGGCCTGTGTTGGCACCCAATAAGATGATATTAAGTAGATAAATAAATGGATTGGTGGATGCTCATTCTGAATACATTTATTGGAATACTATGAATATTATTTATATAATAAAATTTCAAATGTAAAGAATAGTTCTAATAATAGTATGAATAAAGAATAATAATAATAATTCGAAGTTGCCTCATGTGTTTTAACATTTATTTTGTAGTTTTGTTGTATGTACTTCTGTTGTTATCTCTCCATTTTGTTTCTGAATCATTTGGGCGTTAGATATAGATATAGTTCTTTTATTCCAAGCACTTCAATGTAAATATTTTCAAGAACTAAGAGGATATTTTTCATATTGCAGTGGAATGATCAATTCAGAACAATTGAATATGTCGACTTATTTTTCAACTGTAAATTATTAAATCTAAATAAAAGTAAAGAATTTCTGATGTAAATTTTGCATTCGAAATAAGGTTTACTCTGTGTAAAATACATGCGAAATTTGGAATAGTTAAAACAAAAGAGGTGGAAAATATCTACTATGGTTTGGATATGTTTTTTGATATTGATTTTGTCCAGAGATTGATGTGCTATAAGATTGATCCCTCAGTGTAATTATTTGAATGTTGGTATAATGATTAAGAGTGGGGGGTGGGTTACTTAGGGGTAATGATGTCATGAGGGTACTATTTCCAGGGTAGTGGTAGTCGGTTGGGAGTGGTTTAGTTCTCATGGGACTGAGAGGAGGGATTGCTGAAAAGCTAGGAACCCCACATTGTTGAGAACCATGGCCAGGTCAAGATGGTGCCTGGCATTTTGCCAGAAGGAACAGTTCCTGCTGCATCAGGTGCCCGCTATTTTTGAGCTCTTGTGGAGTTCCTAGAGAGTTTGTGTGGGTGCAGTTCACGGGTGGAGTTCCAGTTGAGTGCTTGCAAAGTTCCCAAAGTTCCGTTTGGGCTCTCGCAGAGTTCCTAGAGAGTTCGCATGGGCAGCCTGTGGCTTGGGTACAAAAAATAAAGTTTGGGCTGGGGATGTGGCTCAAGCGGTAGCGCGCTCGCCTGGCATGCGTGCGGCCCGGGTTTGATCCTCAGCACCACATACAAACAAAGATGTTGTGTCCTCCAAAAACTAAAAAATAAATATTAATAAAGAAAGAAAGAAAGAAAGAAAGTTCCTTCCTGCTTGAATCTTCAAGTGGCTGGTGATTTGTGCCCAGCCAGGCTGCTACATATGGTGGCCCATATGGGGAAGGCCTGAGGGTAAGTGATAAGGTAAACTGCTCACCCCTGAGGGCAGTGTGAGAGGATAGGTAACCATTTAAAGATTCTTCTTTCATTTTGTTTTGCTTTTGTTTTAAGTTGCCTATCCCTGCAGATGGTGGGACAGAAGAAAAACCGCTCCCATCTGAGGAAAAAATTATTTGCGTCTGAGGAACAGAAAGGGAGAAAGGACGGATGGACATTTCAGGAGAATAGAAAGGCTGATATAATGAATTTTTGTTCCATTTTTGTTTCATTTTGTCTCGGTTTTCTTTTGCATTATCTTAGTGAGGGGTATCTTCATCACGGAAATATGGAATTAAAAATTAATAAGAACCAAACCGAAAGGGTGTTAAGTAAAGTGCTAGAGGTGGAGGCATCTCAGTAAAATCAAGAACAGTTAGGGCATACATTAAGACAATACAAAGGTGTAGCCCATGGTTCATTAAAGAGGGGTTGTTGAATATATCACAATGGAACCATCATGGTGAAGATTTTAAAAAGATACAAAAGGAAAGCCCAGGAACTCTGCCAGTTGGCACATTACCATTATGGACATTGGTACAATCTTGTTTGTCTAGTCTAGGAGAAGACATCTTACATCAAGTAAAAGAGGAAGTCTCCGATCTACATACTGTGGGGTTGGGCTCCAAATTCCTTAATAGGACACCATAGCATAAGACTTAAAAACAAGAATCAACAAATGGGACTCACTCAAACTAAAAAGTTTTTTTCTCAGCAAGAGAAACAATAAGAGAGGTAAATAGGGAGCCTACATCCTGGGAACAAATTTTTACTCCTCACACTTCAGATAGAGCCCTAATATCCAGAGTATACAAAGAACTCAAAACATTAAACAATAAGATAACAAATAACCCAATCAACAAATGGGCCAAGGACCTGAACAGACACTTCTCAGAGGAGGACATACAATCAATCAATAAGTACATGAAAAAATGCTCACCATCTCTAGCAGTCAGAGAAATGCAAATCAAAACCACCCTAAGATACCATCTCACTCCAGTAAGATTGGCAGCCATTATGAAGTCAAGCAACAATAAGTGCTGGTGAGGATGTGGGGAAAAGGGTACACTTGTACATTGCTGGTGGAACTGCAAATTGGTGCGGCCAATTTGGAAAGCAGTATGGAGATTCCTAGGAAAGCTGGGAATGGAACCACCATTTGACCCAGCTATCGCCCTTCTCGGTCTATTCCCTGAGGACCTTAAAAGAGCATACTATAGGGATACTGCCACATCAATGATCATAGCTGCACAATTCACAATAGCTAGACTTTGGAACCAAACTAGATGCCCTTCAATAGATGAATGGATAAAAAAATGTGGCATTTATACACAATGGAGTATTACTCTGCATTAAAAAATGACAAAATCATAGAATTTGCAGGGAAATGGATGGCATTAGAGCAGATTATGCTAAGTGAAGCTAGCCAATCCCTCAAAAACAAATGCCAAATGTCTTCTTTGATATAAGGAGAGCAACTAAGAACAGAGCAGGGAGGAAGAGCATGAGAAGAAGTTTAACATTAAACAGGGACAAGAGGTGGAAGGGAAAGGGAGAGAGAAGGGAAATTCGATGGAAATGGAAGGAGACCCTCATCATTATACAAAATTACATATAAGAGAAAGTGAGGGGAAAGGGGAAAAAAAACAAGGGAGAGAAATGAATTACAGTAGATGGGGTAGAGAGAGAAGATGGGAGAGGAGGGGAGGGGAGGGGGCATAGTAGAGGATAAGAAAGGCAGCAGAATACAACAGACACTAGTATGGCAGTATGTAAAAATGTAGATGTGTAACCAATGTGATTCTGCAGTCTGTATATGAGGAAAAAATGGGAGTTGATAACCCACTTGAATCAAATGTATGAAATATGATATGTCAAGAGCTATGTAATGTTCTGAACAACTAATAATAAAAAAATAAATAAAAATAAAAATAAATTGTCAGACAAAGGAAAAAAGTTTAGAGAAGGAAGGGCTATGAGGGGAGAAATTACAATGGGAGGTTGCTACTAACCCCTTTCTGTTGCTACTAACCCCTTTTCTGTTGGTGTGGGTGTCCAACCAACAGCTCCACCTATGGAGACAACATATGCTGAGTGGCCCTCAAACCCCATAGTTGATAGATGGGATCCTGAGACAGGACCTCAAAGATTAGCATGCCCTGTATTTCAGGTGGAAGGAGGGCAGCAAATTCACCATGCTTTAGATTTCAAAACAGTGAAGAGCTGAAAGAGGCTGTAACAACTTATGGTCCTCAAGGACCCTTCATTGTAAGTATGGTCGAATCCATTATCAACTTGAATATGACGCCAGTAGATTGGGCTAGTATGTGCAATGATGTGTTAAATGGAGGACAATATCTGTTACGGAAGGTCGCCAATCAGGAATTTTGCACGGAGACGGCTAGGCGAAAGGCAGCAGCTGGATATCCTCAGAGAAATCTAGATATGTTGTTAGGAAAGGGACCTTATGAGGGTCAGCAGCAACAAATTGGATATGATCTTGCCATATATTCACAAATTGCTGCAGATGCAGTTAGGGCATGGAAAATTTTACAAGGACATGGAGATTTACAAGGTCAATTATCTAAGGTAATACAGGGAGCTAATGAACCTTATGCTGAATTTGTAGATAGGCTTATATAAACAGCTACCAGAATCTTTGGGGATATAGAGCAAACAATGCCATTAATAAAGCAACTAGCCTATGAACAAGTAAATAGATGGTGCAGGGAGGCCATTAGACCATGGAAACATGGAGATTTAAACACATATGTTAAATTATGTAGAGACATTAATGAACAAGGGCAAGACTTGGCAGCTGCAGTACAACAGGCTTTAGGTGCCAGGCCAAAAACATGCTACAATTGTGAACAAACAGGACATTTTAAAAGGAGTTGCCCCATAGGAGGAGGGTTTAACAAAACTAGGAATCAAAGGGGTAGAATACCGGGTATTTGCCCATGATGCCATAGAGGGAGACATTGGGCTAATGAATGCCGTTCTCAAACCACTATAGAGGGTACTCCGTTATCAAAAAACGGACAAGGACCAGGTCTTTACCCATGATATCGTGGAGAAAAACACTGGGCTCCATTGTCAAAAAAATGTACAAGGGGGCCCCATGCTCCAGGGCCCACAATCACAAATGTATGGGGTACTGGAGGAACCCAGCAACAACATCAGGGTAGTGCCCAGGATACATTATCCATTAGATCCCTCACTAGACAAACCAGAGGAAGTGCAGCATTGGACATCTGCGCCTCCAGCAGAGCAGGACTAACTCCAGAGATGGGAGTTCAAATCATTCCCACAGGGGTAAAAGGACCTCTTCCCCAAGGAACGGTAGGCTTATTATTGGGATGCAGTTCTTCTACTCTGAAAGGACTTATGATAAGTCCTGGGGTAATTGATCCCGATTA